TCAATTCAATACACTTTACCGAACGGTTACCATGCCGGACGGCTACGCAGAGGTCCCAGGTTCGATTCCCGGGCCGGGAAAAATATTTGTATGGCCTACATTTATTTCTCTCGTGACTTTGGGTGTAGTTTGTGGTTGTCTATGTGTGTCCATGACACCCGGAACACAGGGTTTCCCTAGTGCGGGGCTATGTTGAGTATGTTAAAAAAAAAACAAATTTAACCGTATTTGAATTAAATTGTGCATTATTGGTAAATCTATTCCTCGGTTTTTTTTTCAGCAGTAGAGCTTCTTGTGAAATGGTTCGCCCAGGGACGACGTACTGCCACTTTACCTGTTTCTGCCGGCAAGCGGTGATGTGAGCATAGCTGCGTTTCGGTGTTCAACGGTAAGGGTGGTGGTGAAATTACAAGCACATGGGACTTGTTAACTGGACTCACTCTGTAGCTCAGTTAACAGACCTGTAGATACGGTGAGGCAAGAGACACTACTTCGAGTTCAGTTCGAAGGAATTTCACTTTGTGTTTGTTATTATTATTGGTACAAAGATACAAATAATAATAACAAATAAATACATAAATATCACGGTAGAAAAAAAAACATTAAAATAGTGTCCTTGCAATTTATATTATTACTTTTACTACCATTATTTATATCGCAGCAGTCACTACAAATCTTTTCGTACATATCGGTACCTCCAATAAACACTATGCCAAATTAATTTCTGGTTGTCTCTGTTTTTATTTTGTCTTTCGCTTGTTTATTTTTTTAAACAAAATACGTTTTATCGTTTTTTCGAAATGTTTTTTGTTTGTATAATATTAGTAAATAAAATAAGGCTGTTTACATTAAAAACAGAAAAAACTAAAAAATGAAGTTGGCGTAGTGTTAATTGCAGGTATCGATATTTCAGATAGTCTTTTTTGCAGTTTAGTTTTAGATTGAATTTTAAATTCAAATGTAATTGTTTTCGACGCTTTTTTCTTTGTTATTTCCATTGTTTATTCTGTTTCGTTCGTAGCTGAGTGTCATTGGTTAAATAAAACGTAAGAACATTTCCTTTGGTCTTGCTCACTCTTCATTAGCATTCGAACCCCATTGATACAGTCCACTACAATGATATTTGATAATAACAAACATTGCAATAAACAATCTAATCGATACTTTTATTTAAAATCGATTTGCCAGCTTAGTGTTCCATTACGTTTCTTCATTTAAACATTTCATTCCTTTACATATTTTCTTCAAATGAATTAGTGAACGATTGCTAAAGTTGGTAGCAGCGTACGAATGATTCGTCGAGTGGAGACGCGAAATTGTTTAAATCGATTATGAAGCTCCTGAAATGTTATTTTTTAACAACGGTATCGCAAATCTACCAAATTAATGAGATACGATATCCATCTAGATACTTCAAAGTTAGATTAAATAAGTTGTTTTTGAAAGGAATCTTTAAAGAATTTCATTAAAAAAGTTTCAAACAAGGAATGTTTTGCGATTGAGGGGTGGGAATTTTTTTATCTATTTATAAATTAGAAAGTCGATAGACAGATTGTAGCACTAATACACATAAGGTGTGTTCACAGTCGTGCGATCAGGTTTGCGTTTGGATTTGTGCTGGGGCTCCTTTTGGCTTTATTGTATTTTTTTGAATTAGGTACCACAGGTAACAACCAACACTATTTTATGTCGGGGTTTTTTAACTTTAATATAATTTTGTGTACAAACAAAAACAATGTTATAAAAGGAGTAGCTATACCTTCTATGCATTGCAATTCCATTGAAAGAAATTCTATCTTTGTAAGTTTTAGTGATGCCGTACCGACAAGCGGTAGCTGCAAGAAAAATACACGCACTATCTTATGACGTCGCATTTAAATAACGCTTGCTTGTTTTCAGTGCATTTTTAAACGACTACAAAAAAGGAAGTGATTTTGATGATTCTTTTTTATTGGAAAGAGGGTACCTCAGTATTGGTTACATTTATATTTGAAGGAAATTTCCACGTTCCATTAACCGATCGCAATAAAACTTGGCAAAGAGATGTATTGTAATTCCAATAAAAGGCCGATAAACAAACTTTTGAGGCCATTTTTTTTACTAAAAATGTTATAATTATGCCTCATACAATTAGCAACGACCAAACTGCAAATGATTCTTTTTTTATTAATAATATCAAGTGACGGGATGAAAAAGTCGTGCACCTGATGGTAAGCTACACGCCTGTCCATAACATTTGCAGTGCCACTCAGAGCTAGAGCCACTTCAACTTATGTCTCCGGCACATGGGACTTCACATATGCCTGTAACTTCACCAACACCCTTACCTTTCAAAACCGGAACACAATGCTGTCATTACAGCGGCAGAAATAGGTAAAGTGGCAGTACTTCCTTAGACGAACTTTTTTGTAAGAAGCTCTATCTATTTGTACCGAAAATAATCATATGTACAATTATGTTAGTTTGTCAAATAAATAAATAACTTGTCGAAAAAACTTTACAACCCCTGAAAACTAAGTGAAGTCCTTAACCAGCGCTCAATATGGACTATGGGCTAAACCGTCTCCTTAGTGGAGACCCGTGCCCTGTAAAAGATTGTATACTGTATTGGTGAAAATTATGATGATTTATTAGAGTTTTAAGCAACTGATTGACTCATCTGTAGAATTTAAATGCTGAATGGTTTTACGTAAATTATTTTAGTGAAATTCGATCGGAAACGGCAATCACACGTTTTACGTCCGTAAGTCGTAAAATTCTTTCTATGCAACTTGTGAATTGTTAGAGACTTCACACATTTGCTGTAAAGAAGCGGTTCAGGAATCTTTTGCGTAAAGTTTTTGTAGTGATCAAATAGCAGAAATAAAATTATCGAAAAAAGCAATGAGAACCATGGTTGGAATTCCACACTCGCAATCGTTTACACGACTTCACAATATTATGGAGTTGTGAATTGGCGTGCTTGGATGTTTGTTTGACTATAATAAGGAGACCGAGCCGAAAACACTTGTAGAGGAAAAACAGACGTGGTGAAAAAGTCCCACGTCCCAAGCAACAATGTCTAGCAGTCAATCGAAAAATTTTTGAAAAATTTCTTATTGGAGAAATTGTTTTACCCTGTTGATGAAGACACTTTACTAGATTTTGTGTTTTAATGTAGTTGAGCGACATTTTAAAGAAATCCCATTTGAGGTTGTATTTATTCATTATTATTATTGTTATTTTGTTTTAATTAAAGACTTAGTAATATTGTATGCTATGTTTGGTCTTTTATTTGTATTAGGTTTAAAAACAAACAGAAACGTTGTGGAAATAAATAAATAGATTATTTTAATCGACTCCAATTAATCATTAGGAGTTTATTTTGAAGTATGTTAAATATCATATATTTCCCATTAAGCGGTCTGCAACATTAAAGAGCAGTCTTTAAAAATTAAAGATCAAACTTGCTTGTATTAGAATTTGTAAATCATAGCATAGATTTAGAAACTTTAATACAAGCAAGTTTGATCTTTGACCAATTACATTTTATAACATATGTCATTTGGTTTCCACCTTGACTTGAACCGCCTAGTTTCCTACAAACGCTTCGTTGCCACTGATGCGAAAGAACCTTTAATTCCCAACATAAAATGTGCAGGAAAACGTCAACGAAATCGCTAAAAGGTGCTTTGGCTATAAAAGCGTTAACGAAAGAAGGAATGGAGTAGTTTTTGTTTTCGAAGAAAACTTAACTGAACTTTTGCTAAACCTATGGAGGTAGAAAAAGTATTTTTTTCCACGACAAAGAGTTAGGTTCGTATTCTAGAACTATAATCAATACTCAAACTTGAAAATGATTTCATGGAGAGCTTTTATTCCAGAACATTACTCAAGCTTGGAAGTGCCTATTTCAGCCGCCAAGCAGCAATGTGGGCTTGCTGCGTTCCGGTTTTGAAGGATAAGCTGGTGAAAGCACAGGCACTTGAGACTTGTCAACTTGTGTCTCACGTTGACGGGTGTTGTGGTAGTGCCTCTCAGATCTCTGTTATAGATAGGCGTGTCGCTTACCACCAGAGGCACGACGTGTTCGTCCCGTCACGTGGTATTGTAAAAAAATCTATACTCAAAATTCACCTGAGTAAAGTGAAAACAGACTTCAATATAAAGGAGGAGGTTCTCAATTCGAATGTATGTTTTTGTGTATGTATGTTACGCGATAACTCTTATTTGTGAACCGATTTTGATGATTGTTTAATGACGTAGTCCCATTTAAATTTAAAGAAAATATTCCGCCTCTAAGGGTGGCCAACTCGGTGATGAATGACTTTTGACGTCGATTTTTAGTACTCTGTACTAAGATTATTAAAGAATGCTTGAGGCTTATTTTAGTTGTGCTAATATTTTAACGGTACTCAAGACAAGATAACACAGATGTAAATAATAAAGTAAACATAGATGTAAATCTATGTTTACAACCCTGAGGTCTTAGTTGCACTGGAGTACTTATAATTACAATAACACAATGGATCCATTTCAGAATATTGATCACTATAAGCATATATTTAATAATGAATATCCATATTGAATTACTTTGGATGTTGACAGACCTACTAGACCGGTATGATATGGAGGAACATAGATTTAAGCAGTGCATTAGATTCAACCGGGATTTGGTGAAAATTTTAATTGCGGGTGAGTTTACAAAACCTGACTATCGTGCTATTGTGCGTTATTGATACAAGTATGTACTTATTATATTAAAGTAAGTATAAATCCCCCAGGGGATCGTAGTAGGGGATGACGGAGGGATATTTTTCTTTAATATATAATTATCGTTATTCAATTATTGATAATTAGATTGAAACCTTCCTTTTTATGACGTATACTCTGGGTTCCCTATAGAGATTTTATTAATATCATAATAACATGAAATATCACAATTACCTTTTTTTTATTTGACACTTTCCGGAAAAAGCTTTAGTTGATGATAAATAAAAATGCCATGTTAATATATTGTAGTGTATTTATTATTTATTTTCTGGTTGTGCCGCTGTCTTTTCACTTTCTTCTTTTGTCGCTTCTGTTGTTTGTGCCTCTTCTTCATCATCTATATCGATGTTGAATCTCGACGATGATACTACTTGTAAAGGGTCTGTTGGTTCTTCAATACCAGGAATTCGGTACGCCATGACGGCTGCTCCATAATTTCCGGAGCCGATATCCCAAATCAATATCTGTGGATTTCATCAAGTTATCAGTTGTCATCGGCACAGAGCATATTGTCGTTTACTTATAGAGGACTCTCATAAAACACAAAATATAACCTACAGAAACAAGTGAATCCGAATCAACGAATTTGAAGGCTACCCACACCATAAAGTATTGTGCGTGATTTGCTACGGTCAAAGCCTTTTCAACTGGCACGAACTTATTTTCTTTTGTTCATCTATAACCACAATCACAAAATAAAGTACTCTCAGGCATTTGAGACTAGAAACATGATTTGCAGAGCTATCACAAGCTAGACACATGATTTGCAGGTTTTTGTTTCTCCGAAAACCTTTAGACTCTTATTGAATAGATTTTGTTTCATTTGTCCGAAAACACGTTACGATTTTTTTTCATTAATGTTTCACTATAGTTATACATAAAAACAAGTTATTAGTTTCCAGATTTTTATTACAGATATTAAATGTATTAGAACATGTCGCACAATACAACTCGTCAAATTAAAGCACCTCTCGTCTTTAGAAAATATGGTAAACGAGGTACAAGTTCGTTTGATCGAGTTGTAGTCCCTCGCTTCGCTCGTTCGAATCTTGCCGCTTTTTCATATACTAACCTAACCTAAACCCACAGGAGGGGTCCAATCGGCTAGGAAATGCAAACAAATTCGGTTCTGACACTCGTAGGCCGCTGTCGCGGTACGTTCGTTTCGCTCGCTCGGCTCGTGCAACTTTTTCATATACTAACCTAACCTAAACCCCAAGGACAGGTCGACCCAGCAAGGAAATGCAAACAAATTCGGTTCTGACACTCGTCGGCCGCTGCCGCGGTACGCTCGTTTCGCTCGCTCGGCTGGTGCAGCTTTTTCATATACTAACCTAACCTAAGCCCCAGGAACGGGTCGACCCATCTAGGAAATGCAAACAAATTCGGTTCTGACACTCGTCGGCTGCTGCCGCGGTACGCTCGTTTCGCTCGCTCGATTCGTGCAGCTTTTTCATATACTAACCTAACCTAAACCCCAAGAGCGGGTCGACCCAGCTAGGAAATTCAAACAAATTCGGTTCTGACACTCATCGGTCGCTGCCGCGGTACGCTCGTTTCGCTCGCTCGGGTCGTGCAGCTTTTTCATATACTAACCCAACCTAAACCCCAGGAGCGGGTCGACCCAGTTAGGAAATGCAAACAAATTTGCTTCTGACACTCGTCGGCCGCTGCCGCGGTACGCTCGTTTTGCTCGCTCAGCTCATGCAGCTTTTTCATATACTAACCTAACCTAAACTCCAGGTGCAGGTCGACCCAGCTAGGAAATGTAAAAAAATTCGGTTCTGACACTCGTCGACCGCTGCCGCGGTACGCTCGTTTAGCTCTATGGCGGACAATTCCAAATTGTCCGCCATACAATGGCATGGACGAGTGATGCCCGAGCAGCTTCCGAGCTCGTCCGAGCCCCGGATCTCTCCATTTAGTCGTGCGCGCTTCGTCCGAGTGTGCGACTTTAAAAAGAGTGACTACGTTCTTTTTAAAAATGGAGTGCTTTATAATATGAGCCATCCTAAATACTAAAAAAAAACGTATGTGTATACATTGAGGTTTCACATGACTACAAGGTGTCACACAATTGTAGCTTATACCTCTATAAGGATTATTATACTAACACTTAACAGTTCCGTATAAGTAAAATATAGTACAGGTTTCTGTAGGTTACGAAAGAATATTTCAAACCTTATCGTCAACAATGTATCGAATGTAATAAATTTCGTTGTATTTTTTAAAGCCAATTTCTTCGGCGATCTGCTGTCCTCTTCCAGTGGTGAAGATTCCCATCATACCCGGTACAAACGCGCTGGCTGCCAAACCGACGGATGACTTCAATAGCTGTTTGATCACCCCTGCAATACACAATAGCAAGATTTTTTCGAAGAATTCAGAGACGGAGCAAATAGACGTGAAAACAATGCCTGACCTGGATTCATTACATTTCTGATCAATCCGAAAAATTTCAATTTTTAGGACGGATTTTCAGTTGAAATTCTTGGCGATAAATGTGAAAGGAAATTGAACGCTAGATATTGCGTGTTATAAATTAAGTACTATTTAAATGTTTATTGGAAAATGGGGTGTTCTTGGAATTAAAATTTCTTTATTGCATACCCAGCATACCTAACTAGTTGGCGACCTCCGTGGTCAAGTGGCTTACACATCAACTTTTGTGACGTCGCCATCCCTCCCAGTTTCGATCCTCGACCGAGTCAGTGTGGAAAACTAACTTTTGTATGTTGTCTCGGGTCCAGGTGTTTGTGGTACATTCGTTGTCTCCGATTTTCATATCACAAGTGCTTTAGTTCAATAATTTGGGATCAAAGCAAATGTGATGTTGTCTAATATGTTGGTGTAACAACTTTACTGCATTATGATATGATGCAATATTATTGAGCGACGTGATTGACAAACACTTACCGTCTCGCTTGCACGACTATTATACTTCGTTTGTTAGACAGAAGGAAATTTTGGGTCCTTTGTCAGACGTTATTTTATTTAGTCATATTCCGCAAAGCATTTTAATAAATAAGTACGGTGAAACAAAATTCTCAAGTACATTGACTACTTTTATGTAATTATTATGTTTTTTACTCGTACTACTGAATATACAAATTAAAAAACAAATTTCTATCTTTACATATTTAATATATTCAAAGAATTGCACTGTAAAAACCTAAAGAAACGGTACTAACATAATTATAATCGTGTCACAGTTTTCAAAATGGCCACCGCAAATATATAACGATTTCTTGCGAAAAAATGTCAGAAAATTAAACAATGCGAAGAAAAATTATAATCTACGCTCAAATTGCATTGCGGCGGAAAGGAATGGAAACGAACATGCGCATGCTCGCGAATTCGCGGGAATTCCGCAAAAAATTTTGGCTCGTATCTAGTTTGTACGTAACACAATTGTACTATGTACAATGTCGTTACTAAAATTCGCTTCCATTCCGTTCCGTCACAATATAAATTGAGCCTGAACTCTAGAAGTATGATAGTAGTTAGCCTTAGCCTGACGAAAAAAATCACTATTATAATACTATTACTATAATATGACAGTGACATAATCGTGATAAAGAGTTCAGAGTATTTATCTTCTGCATGTTATTTGATACACAGCTGGCTATACAACTACTAGACAATACAAATATAGTGCGTAGACTACAAAGAACTAAACCTTTTGAGTTTGTGTAATTGATTATAGTGAATAAAATAAATATTAGTGCCACTGCTGTCTAGACTATGAACACACAAACAAAGTGTCTTCCCCTTAATTAGTATTAAAAGATATTGTGTCGATGGACAATTTTTTTGTGTAAGTTATTTTTATTTTAGGAAATTATGTTAAATTAAAATTGCTTATTAGTCTTGTAAAATGACTAGATTGTAATTAGTTATAAGGTTTTGTTTTGCTTTATAACAAATAAAAAATAGTGTTATTTGACATTTTTTACCCTAAGCTGAATAGATGGCGTATATTAAATTAAAAACTATGAGCAAAGTCATAATTTTATGTGTTAAGGAAATATTTGACTCTGCAATCCATTCTCCATACTCACCTCTATGTCTATACCGATGTTTTACAGCCATAATATATATCTTCAAATATCTTCTACATTTCAGAACCTCGAATACATTCACCGGGTATTCGACCTCGTTGTAATACTTCATAACAGCTGAATAGAGAGGGTTGTACGTAATCTTCACGCGGCTGAATGTACGGGAGAATGCATCTGAAGAGGACGTTACTACTGTAATGCATGAGTTAGTTTGACTGGTGGTAAACGGTATTTTGTGCAATGCAATTAGAAAAGAGATCGTCCAAGGAAGTACTTCCACCTTACCTATTTCTGCCGCCAAGCGGTGATACGAGCATTACTGCGTTTCGGTTTTGAAGGGTAGGGGTGCTGGTGAAATTACAGGCACATGGGACTTCTCAACTTATGTGTCTGGGTGACGAGCACAGTGACAGAGCCCCTCAAATCTTTGTAGTTTAATCAACTGAGTGACACTGCAACTGTTATGGGCAGGCGTGTCGCTTACCGACTTGTCTGCCCTGTCGATTGGTATCATAAAAAAATACTACTATAATGCATGAGTCAGTTCGAATGCCGGTAACCGGTATTTTGTGCAGTACAATACTCGAAAACCGGTATTTTGTGCAGTACAATACGTATGTCGATTTTTGCGACACAACACAAAATACTAAGACAAATAAACATAAAAGACAAGACACAACAGGCGATCTTTGGAGATCGTGTTAGCATAGCCAGTGTCAAAAATGATCTCATGAATATTCAATATTGCCCGAGAGCTCATCATTATTTCAATTAATTCGAGGTTAATTTTATTGAGACAGGGAAAACTTTTGTTGAGAAATTCGGAATTGTTTTCAGATAAACCTTATCTTATTCATTAGTAATAAGGTTGAGTTTTATCTAGTTTAAATCTTGCATATTTTTTAACGCCGATTACTGGACTTAATCAGTGATTAATAAATAAATACTTAACCAGTGATTAATTTAAAGATTAAGTCAGTAATACTTGATGGTTTACTCTAAATAATAGCCGACTATTAAAAAAATCCGTATAGTTAACATTCGATTGTTTATACGTAGCAAACAAACAAAAACTAATTGATTGATACTGCATAGGAAAATGCACATGACTTCTAATATTTCCTTCCATTGTTTTCCGTCATTTTTAAAGTATATTACAAATTAAATCTGAAAACTACACATGGTGAGTTCACACGGCGCGCGGCGACGCATGCGCATCGGACAAGAGGCCAGAAGACAAAGCGGGGAGACTGTGGTGCGTAAGAAAGGTTTACGTTGCACCGCATTGCTCGTGTGACATTTAGTGCATTGAAATAGCGTTGCGGCGACGCAACGCACCAGCAGCTTCCGTGTGGCATCGCTCTTAAGGTCAGGCACACACACGCAGTACAGAAGGCGGGAAAAGCGTACGGGTGCGTGCCACACAGCAGTCTCACGCGTAGTACGCGACAGGACAGCGGCACGAAGGCGGCCAGTGTGACACACAGATTTTAACGGAAGCATCATATCGCTATCGGATAATAATTAAGAAGAAGCTTCTGCTTTTATCTGCGTTACGGAAACAACGCAAAAGAAATTGGGTGCACGATATCAACGTTAGAATCTTTTTGATCAAATGAAACTTAATAAAAACCACTCAAGAGTTGTAAAAAAAATACAACGTGCAATCTCGGTGGAAATCCGTTCCCGGAGCGCGCCCGCCCGCTGCCGCTCTGTGTGGACGATTGCATAGAATCATAGAACTCAATGGAATATAGTTTTGCATTCTCTACGGGCCTGTCCTGCACCTGTTTGTCATAGCGTTCGGCCCCGGACCGCGCCAATGTGGTAGGGTGCAACTCACACATTACAAAAATTTACGGACCAGGAACGCTCCCGCTAGCGGCTCAGTATGGCCAGATAATTACGGGCTGCGGCAGTATTCGCAAGATTAAAAAAGGCTAGATAAAAAAAGTCGGTCTCCTTTTTTCATAAACGTTTCATAAACTTATTTCTACATGAGCAGAAAAAAGTGAACCATATTTCTACTGTAATTTCCATTAATGCCTAATTAAGCGTTTTAGTGGCAAAATCTCTGTCCAATGTTCTCTTTAACGTGTTACAATGCTTTCAGCTAATTACTGTTACCGTAGTGCCGGTTTCTCTGTCGGTAGTAAAATTGGGACGTGATGTGAGAAGAAATTACTTAATTTTTAGCCCACTGCAATAATGGAGATTTTTGAACGTACATTAGAGCCATAACCGCCGATGTACCATAAGCAACATTTTTACATATACAGCGTTTTACATTGCAAGTGGTGTTTTAAACTACAACGGACAAGGACCCGTCGACATTTCCCACCAAAATTACATCAAATAGAAATTATAGCAAAAGCTAAGTGTATCGTTAGCTCAACTGTTTTTTTTTTATATATTTTAGTGTAACCGACAGAATCACTATTAAAAATTAAAACGTAAGCGACCCCACTTGTTATCGCAACAGACATAGTAATTGACAATTTCGTTTTACTATAAACGAAGTGGCAGTGGTTTAATACCTTGGCCGCGGCTTACTCGGATCTGAGACCGACCCAATACCGGTACTAATGGACGATCAAGCAAGTTTTTCTTTTTATGACTAGACGAACAAGTCGTGCGCCTGATGGTAAGTTACACGCCTGTCCATAACAGTTGCAGTGCCACTTTGGGTTTTAAAACGCAAAGATCTGAGAGGCACTACCACTGCACCCGTCACTCTGAGATAGAAGTTGACAAATCCCATGTGCCTGTAATTTCACCACCACCCATATCCTAAACCGGAACACAGTAATGCTGACATTACTGCTTGGCCGCAGAAATAGGTAAGATGGCAGTACTCCCCTGGACGAAATCTTTCGCAAGGTGCTACTGTATGCTGAAGTTTGTGCTTCAGACTCAATAGTAGGGCCAAACTCAATGTCATGCACAGATCTTTAGTAGCAGTAGAGCCCCTTGTTAAAAAATTCATCTAGGGAAGTACTGCCAGCTTACCTGTTTCTGCCGCTAAGCAGAAATATGAGTTACTACCGTATACCGGTTTTGAGGGGTAAAGGTGTTGGTAAAAATATATATATAGGCAGATGGGACTTGTCAACTTATTTCTCAGGGTGACGGCCGCAGTGCCCATTAGATCTATGCGATTTAAAGTTCTTGGTGGCCCTGCAACTGCAATGTATATGCGTGTTGCTTACCACCAGGCGCATGACTAGTACGTTCCGTCACTTGGTATAATAAAAAAAAATACTCGGGTTGTATATGCTTGGAAACAAAGTCGGAGGCAGACCTCTCATTAAGGATGCCCAGCTTTTTGGCTGCAGTTTGTGCTTTGGATTCGATATTAGGGCCAAAATGAAGATCTGCGTTCAAAGTCATGCCAAGGACCTCCAGGCACTCAAATTAAGTAATTTGAAAAAAAAAACTTAATTTGAGTGTACAGATAAGATAGTAAGTGTGTGTCTATAAATGGACGAAATAGAGTTAAGAAAACTTTAAATCCTCATTGAATTTCAATGTGAATGTCTCTTATCCGTTTTCTATTCACTATTCGAAATCTATTTGCGATATCGATTCGAATAAAACTCGATTCGACTGTATCGATGCCTACGATGTTAGGGGGCGGATTCTTTGAATGCTCCGAGCCTAAATTTTTACTGCACCCCGTAAAAAGAATTTCGGATTCAGCTGTTGGATTTGAATGTTTATTCTAAGTTTTGAGAGCAAAGCGTTTTAATTTTGAACAGAGTAATGTAAATTTCATTCTTTAATGTATTAATGAAATATTATTATAATTAATGATTGGGCTTATTGAGTTTCATACAAGACGGACTGATCTAGTCGTATTGTAATTTTATAAGTTTTGTAAAAGTGCTGTTTACTATAATATTATTGAATATTATCATGTTTTTATACCTATGATATTCATGGCCATGACAAAATTATCTATGGATTTAAGGTTGTGACTTGTTATAATTACCGAATATTATGCGATCATGTGAAAAATTTATTCCGCCTACAAACCTAATGCTACCAACAATGATCAAATAAGTACACTCTCTACCTCTCACATTTCATACCAAGTGCATTGTACGTAAATTGGATTCCAAGTAGTCGATCGGGATCGGTCTATATTAGGGGAGCATTGAAGAAGCCTCGATCCGACTCCAACGTAAGGTGGGCGGCGCGCCTCTGCTTTGTTTTTTGCTTTTAGATTGTTAGATTATTGTCCTTTATGTTATGGTTTAGGGGCTAAAGAAACTAGCGTTGTAAGCCCATATTAGATTTCCCTTTTACCTACGCTTCTGTACTCTTCTCTAGGTCTCCACGCAAGCATCCTTCTACTGCGTCTGTGGTTTTGTCTAGAAGATGTATGTCCTGCGTATATATCTTCTCCGGATCCTGTGTTCCTGATCGATGGTGGAGATATACCCAACACAGGCCGTGCCATAGCTCTCTGGTCTATGGTCTATTAAATAATTATCTAATAATAGAGAGCGAGAGAGATGAGTAAATTCATTTAAAAAAAAAATAGTTATCGGAGTAATCAAGTCCGCAAAACTCGGTTGGCTGGGACATCTCGAAAGGATGCCAGCTCATAGGGCGATGAAAAGGGCTTACATTGGACATCCTACTGGTCGACGATCGGTTGGTCGACCCAAATTTTGGTGGACGGACGTAGTTCTGCCTGCACGCAGACAATTGGGAGGGGATCGCACAAGGCAGGGTGCTCTCGTGCGAACTGGTATCGAAGGTCAACATTCACCTCGAATCACTGAGCCAGCGGAGTTAATAAGTAAACAATAATCTAATAATTTGTTTGCTTATTTCACTGCATTCATAAACACAAGTTTACCGTAACAAAAGTATATTAGACCGTGGCTTGTCACCATGTCTTGTCGAGGACTTCAGGAACTTTGTCTTGAAGATGTTGACAATCAAACACGAACTCCCAATTTTGAACCATTCCCTTTTTATTACTGATACTAACGACTTTGATTGGCATAATAATGCCACATGTGGTTGATCGTACACCTAAAGTGTTTCATCACGTAAAAAGTCATAGAAATAACATGACCTACAAGAAACAATTTTATGTACATCGACAGCTCCAATAAACACTACGCCAACTTTACTTTTTGCTTATTTTCTGTTATTTTTGTAAACAGCCATATTTATTTACAACATTACGCTTCCCGAATTTAGTGGAAAAAAAACAAAAAATAAAATTTGAAAAAACCAATAAAACGAATTTTATGAAAAAAAGAAACAAAGAACAAAACAAAAACAGGACAGGTCCAAAATTTAAGTCGGCGTAGAGTTCATTGGAGGTATCGATATTCGAAATTTTATAACTCTCCTATTTAACTATAAAAAAGTTAGGGACTACTTTTGTTCGCTGAATCTTTTTAATCCTCTCTCCTGAAAAGTTGTAAATTTGGAGATATGACCTTGTTACACCATGGTTGCGATTTATTTGAAGTGTATAGTATAATGCAACTTACTCTTTTCCTGTATCCTCATAATAAGAAGACCAACCAGCTTGTCTGTGCCTTCCTTGATGACCGCAATGGACATTTTGTCCTTCATCCAAATACGAGCGTTGTGGATGAACTCATCTGTTCCTTCTTTGTCTTCTATTATTTTCATGGATCTATAGGTTATCTGTAAGATTTGATGATTAACAGTAAATGTTTAAGTAATCATAAAAAATGTTTTCGCTCCTTAAATACTGCCACCTTGCCTATTTCAGCCGTCAAGAAATAATGTGAGCATTACTGCGTTCCGGTTTCGAAGGGTAAGAGTGCTGGTGAAATTACAGGCTCGTGGGACTTGTCAACTTATGTCTCAGAGTGACAGTGCCCCTAATATCTTCGCGATTAAAAGCTCTGAGTGGCACTGCAACTGTTATGGATAAGTGTGGGACTTGTTCGTCCCGTCACTTGATATTATAAAAAAAATTCTAAATGAAAAAATCAAGATCTCTTTCTAGAAGCATCTACGACACTTTTCCATCCCCCATATCTTTACCACTGTTTAGACCGACAATTTAGATTTTTTTCTTATAGCAACATATTATATTAAAAAAATATATTTAAACGAACAACGCCTTGTTACGCCAAAGTACTGTTTTTTAAATTTTCTTAAAACACACCTAGAAAGCCTTGTACCTAATATATAAAAGTAACCCCGTAAACCGAAACGTGCTTCATCATAAAAAACTTTTTCAAAGAATTTGATTTAATTAAACGCTGGAAAACTGAATAAAGGATAGAAATTGAAAAGTTACAATGTTATTATCTTAATAAACTTTGAACGAGGTTTATTAAAAAATCTCGAAGATTTCTTAAATATTCCGAAGGCTGGGGTGAAAAATAGGGTCTCAGTGTAAACGATTTTGTATTAACTTCGAGGCTAAGTTTTAATTTGCGTTCTGTCCAAAAATAGAACATCTTGGTCCACTTGTTCGAATATTACAAATCGTCGTCTTAGAGTGAAAACCCCGTATGTGATTTCTACGTATTTTTTCTGGACGAAGATAAAAATGTGATGTAAAATATAGATAAAAATGTAGTGTAAAATGTAACAAACGCCATAATGTTTGTAGTTTTTCTTCAAAAAAATCAGTAAAAACGAACTGTGTGAAAACGCGTATGCGAGGTTTTCACTCTAAGGCAACGAAATATACAAATCAAACGCAAAAAGTCCAAAAAAAATCCTGAGCGTAGCGAGGGTTACAAAGCAAGAGACGCAAAACAATTTTGCTGCCGAGAGAAACACACAACTTTTGAGCTCACTGTAGCGAGAAAAATTATAGATGAAATCAAAACAGCTGAACTATAACAAATTAGTTTTAATAAACAAAATTAGTTATCGTTGTCAATTTAATGTCAACATAAATATAACCTCGTGTTTTGTCTTTGTCCATAGGATGATACAACTGATCATCGTCGCTTGAGTGCGTTCCTGGCAATCTCGATATAAAACGTGTATCTTTCAACCCGGACACTGGCAGAATTATCCTCAGTGGGACAGAAGCCAAAACAAAAAATAAATGTACGATAAATTGCGTAGTTGAATGTGTCATTATGTCATTTTTTTCCTCGAAAGAAAAAGTTCACCGCAGTCCATCGTCAAGTTCGAATTTCAAAAATCTTTAGCGCGCAGCTTTCTAATGAAAAAGAAAGCCTTGCCGAGCTATTGAGGTGAACATTAGTTTTATAGAGATCTCTCATCCTCCGTGACAGTCACACAGCATTGAGAAATAATTTATTTAACTGCAATTTAGAATTTACAATCTATTTTGTGTGTGTGTAATTTGTACCCTTGATATAATAAAACCACATTTGTGATCATACAACGAACTTTTAACATATGAAAGTCATAGAAATAATGCAAAGGACGTGAAATAATTGAAGTATAAGTTTTATAACACTCCCATTTAAGCATAAAAGTTATCAACTAATTTCCTTCATATAATCTTTAAACGCATCTCCTGAATAGTTGTCATTCTGCCGATGTGAGCTTCATAATTTCGTATGTACATAATTTTTAGTTATATAATTTTTTCACTTCTCATGCTCTTAAAGTTCATATTTAAGCTGTGTGTAGGCTGCATAAAATAGGATTTTATGCTCTAGTGCATAAAATAAAATCGTTGTTTAAGACCGAAGCAACGACAGGCGTCATTGCGCCACCAGCCACGCACTCTAGAACTTTATACCACAAAATTAAAAAAGTAGGCAATAGTAATTGTAATAAGTTATAAGAAATAAAAATAAATGCTTGTGAAATATAACTGAGCATTATGTAGTCCGACCTGAGTCACGAGTAGAACTGACATTCAATTTTAATTAAATAATCGTTTATTTGTAATATTGCTGTTTAATTTCCTCGCAATCGAAGTGAAAAGCAGAGTGTATAACTCGTTCATAAAACCCATTTTAACCTTGACTTAAGTATCTACCCACTGGGTGGATATACTCGTCTCGGGTAAAATGACACGTTTTATGCACTTGCTGTACAATCTACTATTATGACTTTCCTTTGTGATAACAGTACTTTTCAAGTATGATCACCCGTGATCGGAATACACGGAGTTAATTTACATAAAGTATGAACGTTTTTTTATTATGGACATACCCATTTCGTCATCAATACCTATTAAATTTCTTGTTTTACTGTTTATTTTCTAAACATTAAAAAATTATTAAATGTTTATTTTTTAAATGGCTAAAATATTTGAATACCTAAGTAAGTACCCATGGAAATACAAGTACAATATTATTTTTTGAGACAATCATTTGTAGCAAATACTTAATAGGAAATATTAATTTGTTGCCGATGTACTCAAGTGTCAACAATTCAAAGTCAATTAATCATTGATTCCATAGTTAAATTAAATTTAGACTTGAAAATGTCACGTTTTAGCTACTGCTCGTTCACTATGCTGACTATTCTCTCTCCTGAGAAGAATGAGGATAAAACTATATGAATTGCTCTTTTCAAATAAATTTAAATGCTATGGAATACACTTTGAATGAAATTTGCATGGAATTTAAAGCCATGTCGTCTTTACATACATGTTTATGTAACACGTAGCCTTTAATTTTGTATTAAAGTTTTCAATTAAAATATTTTTAATGGAGGTTTTATTTAAACTTAATATTTACTAAGATAGTGTTATTAGTATTTCATAATCTTAATAATAGGGGTTTAAATATGAAATTGCCGATTTATTTTACTGGCCACTTTAAATTAAAATTAAACCTGTATGGTGTCCGATTTCAGAGTGAAACGTTTTTCACACGAAAAGTAAAACATGCTTAACTTAAAAAACATGATATTTGATTGTTCGACTTTCAATTGTTTTTACATTCAGCTTTTAACGTGAAGACAGATACAGCGAAAATCTGAGTACCTAATTTTCGAATATGAATTTCCACATGGAGTTAACGTAGCAGAAACTGTCAATGCTGTATTTGGAGAGGATACGGCATACGCAAATACGGCAAACGCCGGCAATACGGCAAATTACGACTTGAAGAAAGAACCACGAGGAAGACCAGTCACAAATGTAAATAACGTTAATAACGCACACACACTCAACATAGCCCCGCACTAGGGAAACCCTGTGTCGCGGGTGCCATGGGCACATACATAGACAACCACAAATTACACCCAAACTCACGAGAGAAATAATTGTAGGCCATACAACTATTTCTCCCGGCCCGGGAAACGAACCTGGGACCTCTGCGTGGCAATCCGGCACGGTAACCGTTCGGCCACGGAGGCAGTTGAATTGAAGGTAATGATGGAAGCCGATCCGTATCAAACTACCACGAAACGTCATGGTTTAATGTTATCATACCCACAATATGACATATGGCGTTTAAATAATGACGACGGAACTCGCAGCAAAACAGCTTCACCGTTATTGCTCTATGATAACGCAACACCTCACACTGCTTGAGAAACAGTTTTACTACTACAAGACCTGCAGATATAAATTATCCATTATCCTACATATTCGTCGGACCTCGCCCCGACCGACTACCATTTTTCCCGCAATTTGATTTTTTTTTGTATGGAAATAAAATTCCCAGGAAGCAGTACAAAAATCCCTTCACACAGCTGTGGAGTCCAGGTCTCCAGAGTTCTAACGCAAAGGTTTAAATGACCTTCCGATTACATGGCAGAAATGTATAGACAACAAGGGAAAAAAACTTTGATTAAACAAATATATTTAATCTTAAAAAAAATTGTTTTAATTTTTCAGTGCGAAACGGCAATTTCATACTTTAACCCCTAATATATTCACGGGGATCTTATTGTAAAGACGTATACAGTTCCCCATCGTTCACGAAATCACTTTTTTTTTGTTTGGACTTAGATCTAAACTTTATATTATGGATATCTTTTTTTCTTAATGTAATTATGTATATTTTTACGGGCATATAAAATATTTGAGTAAATGTACTATGAGCCCACCAGTCTCCTTAAACTTTTCTCTGAAAGAAAACCCAACAGCCTAAACGGTACACAGAACGAACCGCTCGTTTTTGGAATACAAATATGGTTTGTATGTCTGCCTAATAAATAATGCACATATACAAATATAATCAGTTCCGAGAAATATTGGGATTTGTAGAAGGAAATGTCCACATTATTCTTTAGTTTAGCAAAATTAACTCCCTGAATTCCGATCACTGATGATCACATGTGACTTTACTGTACTAAGGGTACGTAATAATGAATATTGATTATGAAGCGTTATATTAACTAACACGAGAATAACTTCTAGTGCTCGAGCAAATATTGAGACTGCGACTTTATCGTAATTTACTCCACCGGATTGTTTTTCGGTCACTTTTTCTTCTCGCGAAATTTCTTAATTAAACAAATTAACATTTTGGAGCCATTTCATATTTTACAGTTAGTTCTTTAATTAAAACAATTCAGGGTGAAGTTGAACGTAGCTGAGAAATCTAGTTTGTTTCGTTTTGCTTTACATTGTAGCTGAAGTGTAATTTTTAATTATAAGTCCATATTTTTAACTGTTACAAAACAGTATACTCCAAAAAGTCAACAAAATCACATTCGTATCCGAATCTCTAACTCTGAGTATGAGTGCGAAATTCAGTTTCTTTTTAAATTTTATTAAAATTTACCATGAGCTTTTCAGTGAAGGAAAACAACGTGATGACACCTGTACGCCTGTAAGAATGTTAACAACTCTTTTTTTTTTTTTTTTTTTTTTTAAATTTTACCGTTACGATCTATTTAATGAACCCAAAAATGACGCTATTAGTTCAGGTGTTGGGTAACCCCACAGACTGTCCTGCTGCGTTGCCTTTTTCCAATAATGTCATCGAATACAGACAGTAAATCAAATTTCAAGTTGACCAAACGAGTGGAAGAAAAATATAATTATTTCTTCTTTCTTTCTAGGTATATCATAAATTCGATATCATCAATTTCATCAATCAATGATGTCCGGTGAAAAGAACATTTTCTTTGAAAAAACAAATATATTTAAATCCGGAAAAATAGTTTCATTTCCTATGACGTGTAACAATCGCGAAAACCTAAGAACTCGATAGAACCTTTTCTATCAACGCCCACTATTTAGGGTAGCTCTTCCCATGTCTTGCTCGCGTAATTGAAATTTAAATACGTAAATAGGTAATTGGGTTATGTAGAAATAACTTACCTAGCCAATTACTACAAAGTACTTATTAATACGTATGACTTACGATTAAAATAATTAAGTCTATGAATCCTATTAATATTTATTGCATGGTAATGATAGACAAGAAGAAACAAAATTATAAGATTTTATTTTATATGAATTTATTGCAAACTAGAGGTTTAAGCATAGGGTCTTAAAAATGCCAATAGAAATATGTAAAAAAAATCTTTTTCTATATAATATCCCTCTACTTGAATACACTTCTTACATTTACCATAAAGGACTTTTAACCCAGTGAAAAAATCGCCGTCTTCGCCTTCGAAATGCTCGTCTACAGCCGCTTTCATTTCTTCATCACTCGAACATCTTTGGCCTTCATTGACCTACCAACAAAACGTCAATGTTGGCCTCGGAGCTCCTTTTTGAAATTGGAGAACAGGAAATATTCGCTGGGGACTAGGTCTGGACATGGTCTGGACTGTAGGGTGGGTGGTTGATTTCTTCAAATCCTATGTCGCCGATTCGTTCCTTGCTAATGCTTATGGCTTCAGCTATCTGCCACAACTTGATTCGCCGATCTTCTGGAACAATTTTTTTGGATATTTTCGTCGGTAACGGCAGTATTTGGACTTCCTGACCTGGGATCCTCTTCCAGCGACTCCCTGCCATGCTTGAATTCTCGACTCTAACGACTCCAAATGATGGGCCAGAATCTCCATAAATTGTCATCTCAACAGACATCTCTTCAAATATTTCCATCGGCGTTTTATTCTACTTTGTGAGGAATTTTATAACATCTTTGTACTCCAATGTCGTACAATGCGCGGGTGACTCAAACATGGTGACGGTTATGGTTCAATTACTAAAAGCGTAATGATGCTAATGACATGAAATTCGGTATATATAGGTACTACTTATGATATTCGCAATTAGTGACATACACCGCAAGTCATTAGTGACACTTAAAGGTACTTAGGCTCAAAACTTTTCAGCCGCCGCTCGTATCAAATTCAATATCAATTTACGATTTTGCACTTTATGTACTATTCAAACTCGAATGTTTTCAATCTCTCCCTTGAAATAAAAAAATATCATTAGGGATGTCACAGTTTTATAAATAATAACTAGTAATTTTTATGTTACTTACAAATCACTTAACTGTTATTGAACTTAGTCATCACAAACATGATTTCAAGATTAATCATATCAATAGCTTTTGTTTGTTGATATTTATTCTACATCGAATTTGGCTATAATATAAATGTTTTTATGTACCATTAAAGTATAATCTCATATTTATTCACCGCCAGCAACATCTTAGTAATTTGATCGCCAATTTGTGAATTATAGAAATAAAAACTACTTAAACTACTAAAAATAACTTTACAAGAATTAAGGTGAATATGAATAAGTTCAATTTTTTTTCACTCACTCATAGCCCCGCACTAGGAAGACCCTGTATCGCGGGTGCCATGGACACACACATAGACAACCACAAATTACACCTGAACTCACGAGAGTAATTAATGTAGGCCATACATATATTTCTCCCGACTCGGAAATCAAACTCGGGACCCCTGAGTGGCAGACCAGAATGTTACCCGATTACCCGTTGGGACACGGAGGCAATCTAAATTATTTTTTACAGTACTGAGCCTCTTAAACTCCGTCTAAGTAGTAAGACTGCCGCGTTACATAAACTAAGTCAAAATTAAAAAAAAATCTTACTAGAAAAATAATTATTTTCCGACCTCTTCATTCAGATAGTGCTTCTTTAAGAACTTGGCAGCCTCGTCGTATCTCCGATCTTGCAGATCCTCGAATCGAAGACCGATTGGCATTCTGCCCCACACTGAAGGCGCTTTGATGCGGTCCTCTAGAGCCTTCATCTTGTTCACTTCCAACGCTGCCCCAGACGCCATGATTTAACTGGAAAAATAACTTACATCATTCTTCGTCCACCCAACATACGTCTCAGGACATAGTCCGGTTGAGGACTTCAAGAGTTTTTCCAAGAGTAACGAACCTTCTTCGACTTGCATCGCTCCATCACGATGCTTCACCTGCCTTCTTCTTCTGCCTAATGGTAAACATTAGTGAAAGGTATAGTTGATTTTGTTAAGAGTCATCTTTCGAAAAAGAATAATATATAAAGAAATTCCAGCTTTTTAGTTGAAATTTATATTTTTGTAATGAAATTAAAAATTAAATTGGCTTAAAAATGTTTTTTTAAAAGTCATTCACTAATGATGCAAGAAGGAAGTCATACCAAAATGAGTTTTACGACTCACATGTCAAAGTGTAGGTTTGCTAGAGTCAGAGTTCAGTACAATAATGCATTTCGTGCTATGCATATATTCTTTTTAAAATCACCACCAATATTATACAATAGACAGTAGAGCAATTCCCGCCTATTCGGCGTATCAATGCCTACACTTCACTCGAAGCGTAGGGTTGTGACATTATTATTTTACTGCCACCTTACCTATTTTTGTCGCCCAGCAGTAATGTGAGCATTACTGCGTTCCGATTTTGAAGGATTAGGGTGCTGGTTAAATACAGGCACATGGTACCTACAGTCGTTCGGTGCCCTCACTTAGGTATCCACTATTTGTACTAAGTCACCGACAACGTACCGACTGTATTTGTCAACTTTACAACGTTACGGACGTTTGACTGCAAGTGAGGGTGCCTACAGCTCCTTTACCTATCTCAAAAATAGGGAGGGTGCTGTACGTGCACTTGGGATGGCTCACCTAAGGCACTAGCCTTACAGAGAACTGGGTGAAGTCCGTGCAAACAACTGTGGTTAGGTTAGGACCTGGAGGCCTACCACGACCTCTTAAAACAATATTGCTTTAGCCTTACATTGACTTTTCGTACCATGACGCGCTTAAAGTAAACTTATTATAATGTTAAAACTATGATGTTTTATTGGCAGCTTTGTAACTCAGTTCACTCAGTTCGTACTATGACGCCACTTTAACATTAAAGTAATGTTGTTCTTATATCAAATTTAGCAATCTTAAAATAGTTACACGGATGCAATGGAAACAACATAATTTTCGAATTTATTGTCTAAATATTGATTTGGAATGATTAAAAGTTAAGTTGAACTTATTTATTTACATATATCTCTTCAATATTTTGTATATTTTTTTATTTAATAGTACAGAAATAAATACCTGGTTAAATAAAAATACGCGATGTTTATTTCTTAAAATTATAAAAGCGATATCTATATGCTCCTTGACGACACTAACAGTTGACACTAGACTATAAATCCGATGTTCACAACGTAAACATCAAGACTCAGCTTGTTTTAATTATTTTTCTTCATGAAAATGCGGAAAAATAGTTGAAAACAACGTAATTTTAATAGATTTCATTTTTACATACTTTTCTTTTTTTAGCAGTTACAATTCTCTGAATGTAAATAACATTAAGTGGGTACTTTAACATTATACTACGATAGGATGATTTGGAAAATCGAAAAAGGTAGAGATGGCATTATACAATTCATGTAGCGTACTTTCATCATTCGTTCTTTCAGTCACTTTAGCAATAATAAATTACTTGGTTCATAGGTTTGTAATGGTACGAATATGAGTAATATTATATTACTATATATAAGCTTACATTGAAATAAGATTGTTTTTTGAAAGGTTATGGTAGGCACCCAGGCTTAGATGGTCCCTGCGCTGGCATGCTCGCGTCAGGTTATAGTGCTCTTCTCGTACACCCTACGGGTCGGTAGAGAGTGTCACTATAATCAAAACTAATGTAGAAATATATAATAATAATAATAAATTTATTCAAATTAAACATACAGCACCTAAACTAGATGACTACAATAAGGTACAATTCGATTGTATGGGCAGACAAAAGTTGAACCATCGTAACCTATTCTAGGTACAAAACCTGTGTTAATAGTGTTACGAAGATTCTCCGTTTTGGCAAAATCAGAAAAGAAAACAATCCTTGAACTGCGGCTAAAACTGAAATAGTGTAGTGCAGTGCCGTGAATCTAGTGTAGAGTAGCAATAGCAGTAATAAAAAGTAAGTAGAAAGTATGTGTAAGTGTGTAAGTGTGTGTGTGTGTGTGTGTGTGTGTGTGAATGTGCGTGTGTGTAAGTGTGTGCGTGTGTGTAAGTGTGTGTGTGTGTGAATGTGCGTGTGTGTAAGTGTGTGTGTAAGTGTGTGTGTGTGTGTGTGTGTGTGAAAGTGTGTGTATTTGTGTGTGTGTGTGTGTGTTTGAGTGTGTGTGTGTGAAATGAAATGGAGTAGAGTGCGCTTAATAGCATTTATATATATACATAAATAAAATAAATAGATAAGTAAAATTTAAGTATGGAAGTCTATTTATGATAATATAACCAGGAGTTCTTCCGTCTTCTCATAAGATAATTTCTGTAACCATTTTCTTAGTATATATCCAACCAATATGGGACTGTACTTGTCAACTTATATCTCAGGGTGATAGCCGGAGTGGCAGTGCACCTCAGATATTTGCGTTTTAAAGTTCCGAGTGATACTGAAACTATGGACAGGCGTGTCATTCCCCACCAAGCGCATGAGTTGATAATCATAAAATAAGGATTATAATTAGTTAATACTGTTTCGCTTTAACAATTTCGAACCCTTTACTTCCAAGTACTAAATTTTAATAAACTGCAAACACATTCAAATTTTACCTTTATAAAAGTCCTTTCTCACCTACAAGTCTAGATTAAATAAAGCACAATATGCTAAAAAAATGCCTACTAATTTCGAAATATGTGTAAATGTAAAATTCATAAAAATAATTATTATAAAACTAATACAAATTCAAATAACAAACATCGATGACAGACTGAATCATGACATTGTAATGAAAATTAATTTTGAACCTCCTTGGAAGTGTTATTTTATTAAAATCACTATCAAAGAGATCGGTAACAAAAGCTGGTTTGATGAGCAGACAGCGTCGTAATCCTCGAAAAGTGAAAACAGAAGTCCTGGTTCTGTAACTCTATGTACAAATAAATCTTTAAATTAGTTTAACGTGTGGGTGTTATCTTGAAGAAACTCTCTGTAACTGTAAGGAACTCATTGTTAACTTGAAGAAGGAAAACTCGTCGAAGCCATAAATATACTGGATGGAATGGACTTTCCATTCCTCACAGAAGCGCAGTTTTTCTTATACAACCGACTTCAAAAAGGAGGAGGTATTCAATTCGATTGTATATTTTTTTGTACTTATGTTACGTGGTCACTCCCGACATTTTTAAATCGATTTTGGTGATTCTTTTTGTTAGAAAGTCCCATTCGAATTTGAATAAAATATTCCACCATTTTCGTTAACTAATTTCAATAAAACTTAGCAAATAGATCGATACCTCCAGCACATAGACAGATGGAGGAAAGTTAATTTTTGGATCTGTTCTGAAGACTTAAAAGACTGACCTCAATCATCTCAAATCTCAGTTCGAAATTCAAAATTTGAGTTCGCCACAACCTGCGGATTTATAATTTGTATTCTATTTTCAAATTTCGTACATATCGGTTGAAAAACGGCCTCGTAAATATGTGGTAATATTCACTGTATAGCATTCAAGAAAGGGGTAATTATTAATCGTCCTATTGTAAAGATTTCCTGTAAGTCAAGCAAGGAGCGTTGCTAAGAGGAACGATCGACCCTTTATTTAATCAAACACACCTGCTTGTTCTTGTTCCTTTAAAAGTATGGTGTCCATAAATTATTATTTTCGGATATCACCAAAATATTACCACTTACATTTTGGATGATTTGGTAACATGATATGTTTTACAAGCATTCTACCAAATAATTGACTATGCCGTTCTATTTTTATTCAATTATAAGATAGTTTTATTACTTTATTTACAGCAGTTTTGTTGTCTGTAAATTTATTGTTACCTCTTAAAGTAAAAGCCTCTCTATGAATGTCATATTAAATGTATGGGAGCGTTTAATGTTAAACTTTTTTGATATTTCTAGTCTTATTTTTAAAAAGTAATTGATGTCGATTTACTCATTGGGTAACATACTTTCTATATCAGTTTAAAGCGTTTGATATCTCTTATATTTAAGGAATATTCGCCAGGGCAGACTAAACGATTACACCCTGTATAGAGTACTTCCATCTAAAGTACTTAAAAACTTAAATACTTAAAATTAAGTACGCTTGAGCTATGATGGTCATCCTACAGTTTACGGAGATGAAATGCGTTGATTGCACGACAAACTCGGCTTCAATTCTTGATTAGAGTGCTCATTGTTTCGTGCGGTTAGCCCTTTTACCGTCCCTCTGCTGATTAGGAAATGAACAATCTTTTTTGTCTAGTGAACATAAAAACCTTGTGATGAAGTAAATAGAGATGCTTTTTATTTTTCTCAATAGTATATGTTGCTAAATAGTGAGAAAGAAAGAAAATATTTATTATTTTGCGGCACACATATTGCCGCATAAGCTTCTAGTTCCACCGGGGAACTTTGTGTAATTTTATCGTCTTCGCATAGCGTAAGTAACCGTATTTTTGGGAAAAAACGGGTAATACCAATTTCGAACTGTAACTTTAAATCTTCTTCTAAAGACGGAAGGCGCTGTGTCAAAAAGCCTACGACAATACCACGGATTACGCAATCTCACGGGACATTAATTTACACTGCTGCACACTGATCCCCTTCAACGACATACAGATAACTCTAGCGTATATTCGTTTAGCAACAAAAAGTTGAAGTTATATGACACGATAACCGTTGGCAGGGTTGTCATGTGAAAAAAAGGAGTGAAGACAAGCTGACAGAGTAAAACAAAAGTAATCAATTAATTTAAGTACAAGTAACCGCTTCTTGTGAAAGCGAAGTACTACCACCTTCTGCCGCCAAGCAGTAATGTGAGCATTACCGCATTACGGTTGGAAGGGTAAGGGTGCTAGTGTTGTGTGTATGTACCTGTGACATAAGTTGACAAGTCACAGGACTTGTCAACGTATGTTACAGGTACATGTCTCAGGGTGGCAGGCGCAACGACAATGCCTCTCAGTCCTTTGTGATTTAAGGGCCGATACAACTTCAAATGGCTTTGGTTGATTCCGCATAACAGTGAAAGTGTTGAACCTATCACTTTGGAAAAAATATATAGTAAAATTGGGGATATACACTGATTTACTATACGATGTGAAATAACGATTCGTAAAAATTTTTGCGATACAAAAAAAATAAACTTACCTCGAAATTTTACAAGAAAACAGCTGCATTCAGCGGGTACTTTACATATAATATACCAATGTTTTTTTTAATATCAACTGAACTAAATAGAACTCTTATAGTATACGATATACGTTTTTGAAATGTCCAATTTCATTTATAAAAAATAAGTTCTGAAATAAAGACAGTGACTCTACCGCTCTGACCCAAAATGTACTGTATTAGTAAGGGATAAATATGAATTCGAGCTAAGGTAGTATAGACTGTCAAAGTTTTGAGTGGAACGGCAACTGCAATCGACAAGCGTCCCATCACTTGATATCATAAGGAAATAAACGAATGAACGTAGAAATGAGGTGCAATTACAGTGAGGCTTATGTCCTGAAGAACCTGAATCATTAGAGATAGTAAATGAAACTATTTATCGGATCTTTATCGCTTATATTTGTGTTTTCAAACAAACCAACGTTTCGGCCCTTTACAGGTCTCATGGTCACGGGTGTAAAAAGAAGTAAAATAGGAAATGACACTATTTTTTTCGGGCCTAAATCGTATTCTGCTTAGACACGATATGTACGAACTGCTTCAACTTGTAACGATGGGAAAGGTTGAAGGCAAAAGACGCGCTGGAAGACGTAAAATGTCATGGTTACGTAATATAAGGGAGGGGACCGGAAGCACGGGCACAGATCAATTTGTTTCGTTTAGAAATGGATAGGTACAAGTTTGCCGTACTGACGGCCAAGCTCCAGTAGTGGAGATGCTAAAGCATAAGCTTCTTTAAGAAAAAGAAGATCAGTGTATATTTGTTTTTTAAAACAAACCAACGTTTCGAGCCCTTTACAAGTCCCATGTCCCACTAGCGGCGGCGAATGCTGAGAGTCAGTACAAAGATTAATAACAAAAACGCTTAGGAGAATTTCAATAGCTCGGTAGCTTGACTAATGGCTCAGTTGGTAAGAGCAATGCTACGGTGCAGCATGGTCGTGGGTTCAAATCCCACCGGGTCGACGAAAGTTTTCGGTGTATTCGATGTTCGTATTCGTAATCATAATAAAACTAGTGGAGTTACTTTACAAATAATTCTCAATAATAAGAATAAGAGAGTTATAAAATTTGATATGTTCATGTGATTTTCATTATACATTCGAAAGTCCTTGCTAACCTGGGCATCAGGTTGTTGGCAAGACAACGCTCTTTTTAAATACAATATACTCTTGTTCGTTATTCATTAATGAGGTTACATTAGATCATAAAGGTGCCAACAGGTGTAAATCGACATTCATGTATGGTGAGCTAAAGAGGTAACTACTTCTTTTTTAATGTCATCAGTGTTCAGAACGAATCTTCAGAAACTGTCAAACGACTCATGACCCTACACTTATGGTTTTTTATTGTATTAATCCATAAGAAATATTTGTTTCTTAATTATTTGTAGTGAAGAAAAGCTTTATCTATCTATCTATATTTATCTACAATAGTTAATAGAACTTACCACTTTATTGAGCAACTTTTTCAATGGCTTCGTTAAGAATCTTGCCAATTTTATCGC